ACAATGTTTTAATTACTATAGCTTTGTATTATATTTTGAAATAAGGAAATGTGAGTCTTCTAAATTTTTCTGTTTCTAAATTGTTTTGGCTATGTGGGTCCCTTAAGATTCCATATAAATTTTAGGATTTTTTTTCCTATTTCTGCAAAAAACTGACATTGGGATTTTGATATGCATTGCATTAAATCTGCAGATCTCTTTGGGTTGTGTAATAGTATAATACCTTAACAATATTAAGTCTTTCAATCCATAAACAAACATGGAGGGTCTTTCCATTTATGTGTGCCTTTTTACATTTCTTTCATTCATCAATGTTTCGTAGTTTTCAGTGTACAAATCTCTCACCTTCTCGTTTAGGTTTATTCCTAAGTATTTTATTCTTTTGTTGCTATTATAAATGGAATCATGTTTTTAATTTGTCTTTTGGCTTGTTTAGTGCATAGAAACACAACTGATTTTTGTGTGTTGATTTTATATCCTGAAACTTTCCATGAGAATTTATTTCATAATCCCATGTACATAGTAAGCTTCTGTTTCTGACCCTTACAATGTCTTGCAGATCACATGTGCTTTAGGTATGTTTCCGTTAATAAAATGTCTCTTTATTTTCAAGTTTAAAAGAAGAGTCTTAATTTAGGACCTTTAGACAGTGTTAGAAGAAATAAATTTCCACCACCTTCTCAACAAAGTTAATCACATCAAAACCATTTAATAATGTTTTCACAACTATCTGTGAGAAACGAGACAAGTTTGCTGGGCTGTAGAATGGATATGTATTTTGGTGAAGTTTCCTAGAATGGGGCAGTCAAGGGAATTGCCTTCCATAGGCCAAGAAAAAACAGTGAAACTTTTTCGTGTTTTGATTCTCTATCAATACAAGCTGAACTTTTGGCTTAAGAATTATCTTTGAAAATATAACTTGTTTTCCCACTTGAGGAGGGGGTCTGTTATTAACTCATCAAGCTAAACACTATTACAGTCTGGTTTCTATAGCAGTCACATTGTCATAGCTGGTATTTCTAACTGCCTTCTTGCATTGCCCTTGTACTCAGGCAGCACCTCAGCTGTTCAAGGTTCTTTGCCTGCCGGGGGAGGATGCCTGAAATCTTCATTCCTGAATGGACTTTCCAGGATGTCCTGCCTCAGTTGGGTTATTATAATTATTCATCGACTTGAATCACAAAACATGGGAGTACTAAGAAGTGCTCCACACATATCAGACATATTCCTCCTTAGCCCCTTTTGTAGTAGGCACTCAATTTGCCTTTGAGAGTCAAGTTCAATCACCCCAGCCAGTACAGTACAGCCCTTCTTTGCCTGCTGATTGAGAAGGATGGGGAGTCCAAAGCAGCCAGCTGGAAGTCTCAACTTCCCATTCAATGGAGTCATTGTTGTTTCCTCTAATCAAAGCATTTCTCTTTTTGGAACTAAGATTTCTAGTCCAGAAGAGCATAGAATTGTGGGGATGAGAAGCAACATTTTTCCTATTGTATCTCTAGGGATGAACAGTGAGGGGAGGCACTTTCATTTCCACACCTTGATTGCAGGACCTGTGAATGCAGGCTACGGGAGAAACAGCACCATATATCTATGCATATAAATGCTTGGATAGAGTATTACCATCTCCTAACAGCTGTTGCCCCTCAAGTTATTGCCGCCTAGCCAAAAACATAACTGAGTCTTCCAAAGGTCATTATACTTCAGGATGAGAGGAAGCATAATAAGACTAGTGAATTCTGTGAGTATTGCTCCATTGCCACACTCATTTTCTGTGAGGTGAGTTCCTTGTTTACATGTGGTACTGTGTGGAATATCATGATGGTGGATAAGGCATTTTTCAAATCTGCAAATATTGGTTTTCTCAAAAGCACTGCCAGTGGGGAGGAAAATCCACATCCAGACTAAATGTCTGTTCAGGTAAGAACAAAGCACTTCTCTTTCTATAATAGAAGTGATCGATTGTAATCCACCTACCACCTGGTGGCTGGCAGATCACTCTGGAGTCTGGTGCCATATTGGGAACTTAGTGTTGGTCTCCATTTCTGGAAGATTGTTCACTCAGCAATGACCATAGCCAGGTTTGCCATGGTGAGTGGAAGTCCATGCTACTGCGCTTAGCTCCAGCCCTGCCAGTTTGACCACTTTGTTTGTTGAGCCTGTAAGATTGTGACACAAGTGTTAGGGAAAGAGGCTAATTAATAAATATATAGCTAATAAGAACATTATCTATCCAATTATTAAAATTCTGCTTTGCTGAGGATACCCTTTGCTGAGAACTCTCATGAGACCCAAATATCTTCTCATTGCATGTCCGTTTGGCCAGGTCTGTCCACATATTTTTTTTTCTCAGACCTCCTTGTCACAAAGTTTTAATCATGTGTCCTCAAAGTCCCTGACGATTCATCTAATAAATGGGACACAACCTATGTGTGATACATACTTATATGTCTGGGTATGTCTCCTCCAAGAAGATGCACTGCTCAAAGTTATTCCCTTTGGGAGGATTTCCCTTCACCACTGTCCTTCAGGCCTGTCCCAGTCAGGACTGTCGTAATGCAGCTGTCCACTTCTGGCTGGTATGGTAGGCAGGATTCTAATTACACCCCACCAAGATTCTAATCTCATGGTTATTCAATCCAATACTCACATGAGTACTGCTGTGGTGGGATTTTTTTTTAATTGTACTTTAGGTTCTGGCGTACATGTGCAGATCATGCAGGATTGTTGCATAGGTACATACATGGCAATGTGGCTTGTTGCCTCCATCCCCCCATCGCCTATATCTGGCATTTCTCCCCATGTTATCCCTTTCCAACCTCCCCACCCCCCGCCACTGTCCCTCCCCTGGCTCCCCCAACAAACCGCAGTGTGTGATGCTCCCCTCCCTGTGTCCATGTGTTCTCATTGTTCAACACGTGGTGGGATATTTTTAATGCAAAAATGAGTATTTTATTTTGATAACACTAGAAGAAAAACAAACAAAACACCTGTGTTCCTACATTGAAGCAAAAACAATGTTTAAGCTTTCTCGTCAATCAAATATATTCCACAAGAAAATGTGTTCTATGAAGATTCCAAAGCATAGGCAAATCTTAACACAATAGGCTAGGAAGCTGTAATACTGAAAATGACTCTCTTCTGACAGGGTACTTAACAAACATACCTTTTAAATTTAAATTTATTTATTTTTTATTTTTTAAATATATATTTTGTTGCATTTTAGGTTTTGGGGTACATGTGAAGAACACGCAAGATTGTTGCATAGGTACATACATGGCAATGTGGTTTGCTGCTTTCTTCCCCATCACCTATATCTGACATTTCTCTCCATGTTATCCCTCCCCAACTTTGAGACAGAGTCTCCTTCTGTCGCCCAGGCTAGAGTGCAGTGGCGCTATCTCAGCTCACTAAAGCTTGCTCCTCCCAGATCCAAGGGATTTTCCTGCCTCTGCCTCCCAAATAGCTGGGATTACAGGCACCCACCACTATGCCTGGCTATATTTTTTAATTTTAATTTTAATTTTTTTTACAAACATAACTTTTGAATTACAAAACCAGTGAAATAATCCCTTCTAAATAATTGTGTCAAGAGTGAAGCTGCTTGTTCCATTAAAACTCTGAAAATTTCGCTGTAATACTTTTTACCACTATAAACATTTCAAGTAAGTTTTGCTGCACTTAAAATAAGTTTTGAAAGTGGAAAAATGGGCTGGGCATGGTGGCTCACATTTGTTATCCCAGCACTTTGGGAGGCCGAGGCAGATGGATCACTTGAGGTCAGGAGTTCGAGACCAGTCTGGCCAACATGGTGAAACCCTGTCTCTACTAAAAATTCAAAAATTACCGGGGCATGGTGGTGCACACCTGTAATCCCAGCTTCTCAGGAGGCTGAGGCAGGATAAACATTTGAACCTGGGAGGCAGAGGTTGCAGTGAGCAGAGATCACACCACTGCACTCCAGCCAGAGTGAGATTCTGTCTCAGAAAAACCCACAAAAAAAACTAAAGTGGAAAAATGTGCAAAGTTCCAGATAAAAACGGTTAATAGATGCAACATAATGAGATTTCCCCTCCTTTTTTGTTCTTTTTGTTTTTAGGCAGTCTCAGTCTGTCATCCAGGCTGAAGTGCAGTGGTGCGATCAAGGCTCAATGCAGTCTAAACCTCCTGGTCTCAAGCCTCCCAAGTAGCTGGGGCCACAGGTACACGCTCAGCTAATTTTTGTATTTTGTGTAGAGACAGGGTTTCACCATGCTGCCCAGGCTGCTCTTGAACTTCTGAACTCAAGGAATCCACCCACCTTGGCCTCCCAAAGTGCTGGGATTAGGGTTGTGAGCCAGCACCAAGCCCTCCTTTTTCTTATCAGTTAACAATAACAATAGCAACAATAATGTTAACAAATAGAGGTTGACCTTATTTATTTTTTTATTTTATTTTTTAAAATTTTTAGACAAAGTCTAGCTTTGTCACCCAGGCTGGAGTGCAGTGGAACGATCTGGACTCACTGCAAACTCTGCCTCCCAGGTTCAAGCGATTCTCCTGCCTCAGCTTCCCCAGTAGCTCAGATTACAGGCGCGTGCCACCACGCCCTGCTTAATTTTTGTGTCTCTTCCTCCTTCCCTCCCTCCCTCCCTTCCTTCCCTCCCTCCCTCCTTCCTTCCTCTTTCTTTCCTTTCCTTCCTCTCTCTCTCTCTTTCTTTCTTTCCTCTCTCTCTCTCTCTTTCTTTCTTTTTCTTTCTTTTCTATTTCTTTGGTTGCTTGGCTGCTATGGAGAGCCAGAGTCTCGCTGTGTTACCCAGGTGATTTCATCTCGCTGTGTCAGAAGGTTCTGCATTCCTCTGCTTATGTGGCTGTGCACTTGTCACGGAAGGTCGCCTGGAGAGGGCGCCAGAGTCAGTGAGGGTAAGGCTGCGCTTCCTGTTCTCTGGGCTGGCGCCCTTGGTCCTGCTGGTTTACGAGGCTTCTTCTCTGGACTCTGGCGTCCCCAACAGGTTCCCAGTGTTCGGGTTCTGCAGGGCACGCGGTGGCCGGCAGCTTCCCTTCCTTCCATCTCCCTTAGGCACTACGGGATCTGTGCTTCCGGTGAGACGCGTCCCATGCTCATCAATCCCAGGTGCCCTGGGGGCAGATTTCCCACAACTCCCAGGGACACTTTTCTAGAAAGTTCAACTGGGGGGAGGCGTCACAACAATTTCACTGCCATTTTGGGAGGCGACGCCTCTGCTTCTCGGGCAAGGTCAGGACATCAGGACTGTGAGGGGGGCAGTTTTTCCCTGGATGCTTTAATTTCGCCCTGGAAAGTGTCCTTTGTCCTAGGAAAGCGTCTTTTCTAGGGTGTTCTACGTCGAGTGTGTGCTGTGGGCTTCCTGGGCCATGTGGCTCCGCTCTGGGGACACCACCGTGGGCGCCTGTGTCAGCCGTCGGGAGTCTTTTCCTTGGGCACCCCGTCTCGGTTATGTTGTGGGGCTGGGGAGCTTTTCTTGGGTACTCCCTCTCGGTGATGCGAGGGACTTTTCCTGCTGCAATGACCTGAACCCAAGGGTGGGGACCCTACCCTGGTCGCCTGTGTCAGCTTCGGGTGTGGCGGTGTTTCTTCCCCGCTAGGCCACGACCCTGCGGGGGGACTCTGCCTTAGGGACTCTGTCTGTGTTCGGGGCTGGGGTCGGGGTGGCTATTCCGCGGACACATGATTACCGCCCTGTGAGGTCACTCTCTGTCGCGGGCTTTATCTCAGCCCGCAAGGGACTCTTCGTTGGGTGCTGATGTCGGCCGTGGGGCACATTTGTCCTTGGATGTTGCTGACTCTCAGCTAGTATGTGTTGGCCTTTCTTTGGACCTATTTATCCCCGATGGGGACGCCTACCTGATGCTTTGTCTTTGTGCTGGGTTTTTAAATTATTATCCGTGGGTGCTGTCTCCTGGTGCTGCGGGGGAGTGGGGTGCTGTTCCTCGTATTCTCTAAGTCTTCGGTGGGACTTGGGGAGCTCTGTGTCAGCCATGAGGGAGGCCATCTGACCTTGTGAGCTCTATCTTGCTCCGGTTTGGGGTGCTTTTCCTCGGTTGGTTCTCAGTCCTGGAGGAGCTCTTCCCGGGGTACTGTTTGACTTTTCAGCCACGGCCTCAGGTATCTGTGTGGGAATTGGAGTCCAGAAATAGTTGAAGGTTCCAGCTGTGCCACATTCACACACTCGCTGTACAGTTAGGCTTTCATTCCAGCCACTCTGATGGGTGTGCAGTGATCTCTTCTTATGTCTACACTTGCATTTCTCTGCTGATTAATGAGATTAAGCACCTCTTTTTAAAAGTTTTTATTTATTGATTTTTGTTTGTGTTTTGAGATGGGGTATCCCCTGTTGTCCAGGCTGGAGTGCAGAGCCACCATGCCCAGCTATTTATTTATTTTTTTTGAGCACCTTTTAATGTGTTTATTGGTCATTTAACTATGTCATCTATAAAGTTCCTTTTCAGGTCTTTTCCCCCAGCTTTTACTGAGATGTTTGTAATTTAAAAATGGATTTGTAGTTTACATATATTCTGGATTTCAGTTATACACACATGCACACAGGCATATATGTACATATATAAAAATATATGTACAATTTTTGTATCTTCCATAAATCTGTTTTGTTTTTACACGATCTCAATAATGTGTTTTAGATGAACACATCCTCCTAATTTTATTAATCTGTGAATTATTTATGTCTAGTGCTTTTCATTATTTTAAGAAACATCTTTGCCTCACCCAATGCCATGACAATAATATTCTTTATTATTATTATTATACTTTAAATTCTGGGATACATGTGCAGAACGTGCAGGTTTGTTTCATAGGTATACACGTGCCTTGATGGTTTGCTGCACCTATCAAACCATCATCTACCTTAGATATTTCTTCTAATGCTATGCCTCCCCAAGCCCCCCACCCCCCTACAGGCCCCAGTGTGTGATGTTCCCCTCCCTGTGTCCATGTGTTCTCTTATTCAACTCCTACTTATGAGTGGGAACGTGTGGTGTTTGGTTTTCTGTTCCTGTGTTAGCTTGCTGAGAATGATGGTTTCCAGCTTCATCTATGTCCCTGCAAAGGACATGAACTCATCCTTTATATATATCTGGCAACAAATGTATATATAAATATATATATATGTATATATAAATACATATGTATATGTATGTGTGTGTAATTAATATATATTTTTATATATGACCTGTACTATATGCTACATAATATATAATCTACAAACAAGCTTTGCTTTTTCATTCTCTTTTGAGGAACAGAAATTTTCCATTTAATTTTGTCTAATTAAACAATTCATTCTTTTTAGTTAGGGCTTTCTTATCTTCATTAAAAACATCTTTTCCTATTCTATACTTGTTAAGACAATATCTTAAGTGTTTTCTAGATTGTCTATCCATCTTTAAAAAGTTTTGTGGAGTGGGAAGAGGTAAGAATCAAGGTTTGTATTTTCCCTGCATTTATCAAGTGCGTTTATTAGAAGCACTGTCCTTTCCACAGTGATTTACAGCTCTTCTGTATTTTGTATTTCCAGATTCTTTCTGGCCTCTGTGTCCTCTTCCTTTGGTGTATTTGCCTGTCATTACTCCGATACCTCACTGTTTTTATTACTCTACCCTTATAGTAAATTTCATATTTGGTAGTACATATCTGCCAACTTAGTTCTTTTCCTTAAAGGTTGTCATGGCTTTTCCAAATCTTTAATTTGCATATACTTAAAAATGATCTGCTTGTCAATTTTCAGAAAACATTTTGTTAACATGGTGGAGTTTTAAATATGATTCCTATGATCTTTCTGAGAGAATTAACAATAATGCCTCTTAATAATGTCTTCCAATGCATGGCAAGAATATTTTTCTCCATTTACTGCAGCCTTGAATTTCTCTCAGTGATGTTTTATATTTTTTGTGTAGTACCCTGATACATCTTGATTTGATTTATTCCTAAGTATTTGATGATTTTGGTACTGTTTTTAGTAGCATTTGAAATCTCATATTCTGATTATTTGTTGTTATTAATTATACAGAAATACCAGTGGTTTTTATTATATCTACTAACTTGACTAAGTTTGCTTATTAATCACAATGATTTTATTCCTTTACGTTTTCTATGTACAGAACAATGTCATCCATGAATAATGACAGTTTTATTTCTTTCCAAATTTTAAACCTACTATAGTTTCCTGATGCTACTGCAATTGTTAGAATCTCCAGTAAATTGTTGAATGGATAGTGGACATCTTTGTCTTGTTTTCAAACTCGGGGAGAAAATACTGACATTTCACTATGAAGTATGGCATTTACTATTTTTTCTGTACATATGCTAGCCAGAATAGGAAAGTAGCCCTTTTTCCTAAGTTGCTGATAGTTTTTAATCACGAATGGACTTTAAACATTGACCCATGTATGAAAATGATCATGTAGTGTTTCCCTGTTTTTTTTTCTGCTGTTGTTGTTGTTAATGTGGTGCATTACATTTGTTGATTTTCAAATGTTAAATCAATGTTGCCTTTCTGCAATATTCTCCACTATGGCTGATGTATGTCCTTTTTAAGTACTATGGCATTTTAGTTGCTCACCTTTAGTTTGGAATTTTTGTGTGTAAGTTCAGGGGTGATCTTGGCTTGTAGTTTGGCTTGATCTTGTAGTTTTTCTTTCTTCTAATGTCCTTGTCAGATTTTGTTATCAGGTTTGTATCAATCTCCTAAAATGAGGACAAAGAACAGGAACTATTTTTCCTAACAAGGGTGAATACAGATTGGTTTGTACATCTTCAAAGAGGTAATAATATTTTTATCTACTTTTGGTTGATAAGAGCTGCTTATTCCACAGGCATTCTGATTGATTTTGGTTGTACCATCTTTCTTCCTTTTTTACTTAGTGTTCATTAATATAGATTCCTTTTACTGAGAACAGAGTGTTTGTTGAGACTTCGTAAATCTTGGCTCATGATTAAAAGTGAAATCAATGATTCAAAGTCTTGGTTGTATACACATATGCAGAACTGTGTGCCATTTTTGATTGATAGATTTTTATTATTTTTGAATATGTTCATTGATGTTTTTCAAGGAAACAATGACCGATAAAACAGAGAAAGTGGCTGGTGATCCTGAAACCATATTTAAACGTCCCAGGGAATCTGATAGTCCTTCTTATCAGAAAAGGCAGAAGATGGCCCTGTTGGCAAGGAAACAAGGAGCAGGAGATGGACTTACTGGAGGCTCTGCCATGTCCAAAGAAAAGAGTAAGTCAGTCTGTCCTTACCTCCTCTTCATGCTGTGTCCAGTGCAGTTGGCCTCCTGCCTGTTCCTCTCCAGAGAAACTGCCCTTGTCAAGGTGAACAGTTTCACCTGACATGGCCATTAATTTCACAGCAGCATTTCACAGTTGTTCACATGCTTCTTCATGGAAACTTTCTAGGATTTCCATTTTCTTCAATCTTTTTTTTTTTAATTTCTTGTCCTCATTGGTGAATCCCTATCGTTTTTTTCTTTTGAGATGGAGTTTTACTTGGCCAGACTGGAGTGAAGTGGGGTGATATCAGCTCACTGAAACCTCCATCTCCTGGGTTCAAGTGATTCTCCTGCCTCAGCCTTTGAGTAGCTGGAATTACAGGCACCAGCCACCAGGCCCAGCTAATTTTTGTGATTTTAATAGAATGGGGTTTTGCCATATCGGCCAGGCTGGTCTTGAACTTCTCCTGTCAGGTGATCCACCCACCTCAGCCTCCCAAAGTGCTGGGATTACAGGCATGAGCCACTGCACCTGACTCCTATCATTCTTTTTTTCTACCTTTCTTTTTCTTCTCTTCTGTAAATACTGTGAAAAATTTCTGAACCCTAGCATATCTCTCTCTCCTTCCATTCTACTCTGCCATGATGAATCACTGAGCTACTGTGATGTCTCCATGTCTCCCATTATTGTCCCCATCTAACACACACCCTCCAAACCTGCAGCCAGGTCATCATGTTGGCATGTAAATCACATCATGCCATGTCGCTCTTGAAAACCCATCCTTAATTCTCCTAAGCACTCAGAACCGACCGTGAACTAGCTTTAGTCTGTGAGGTTTTGCATGGCCTAACCTCTGTCGTCCTCTCCTAACACGGGTCCCATCCATCTCCTGGCTCTCTCTGCCTCTATCCTTTACCCTGTAGTGCTCGGTCCATCCCCATTCCAGCCCCTACCCTTGGCCTCACTGCAGCCTGGAAATCCCCCTCTGCCTCTGCACAGACTGCCCCACTTTTTCCTCCAATCGCCGCCCAAGGTCACCTCCTCAGCAGGCCCTGCCCAACCAGTGGTAGCTCCTGTGACTCCCTCTGCTGCTGTCTCCCACAGGCCTGTGGACGGCTTCCCCAACACCAGCCCAACGCTGTTTGTTTCATTTGCTCATTGTGCACACACTGTCTGACTGTCGCGTGAAGATGTGAGCTCCACAAGGGCAGGGAATGTTGCTCTCTGGGCTGCTTGCTGCTGATCCCCAGCTCCTGGCATGCTACTGTCACAGACAATGAATAAATGAAAGAGGTGTCAGACCTGGAGTGAAAAGAAAGTCACTTTTCTGACACAGAAAAGAAGGATGAGGAAGATCATACACTAAAAGAGATGTTTGGTGATGGAGCGCATATAGAACTTTCAGCACTAATGGCCGCCTCCATTTTCTCAGAATATATTTGATATAGAGAGGAGGCAGGTTGTGATGTATCCAAGTTGTCTGGCTTCCAGTTGAGTAAAGTATGGTGGGTTGTATGTGAATTTGAGAAATCATGATATCAAGTGAGACTTGCTGCTTTCAACTTATAAAGCATAACAAGCTGACACCAACAGTTGACTACCAGGGACCTGTGAATATTTGTTAGAGTTATACTGTCTTACTTGGTTTCCATATGTATTTATAGAGCTAGAAACCAAGAGATGGTTTTATCGTTTTATGTGTCCCAGCCTCAATTCGTCAGGTCTGGGATTTTCCCCTGGTATATCCTCCCATCTATGAAATAAATAATGCCCCAGAAACTGAGGAGCACATAGATGTACCCAGAGGTGTGATGAAACACACATATCCCACAGCTCAACTTCTCAGTTTGGTTTCCAGATCTGTCATTCATGATGTCTATGTGGAGGGTAAAGAACGTGGTGAAACTCCAACTGATGGCTTTTTGTCAAAATCTGTTTCACCAGAGCTTAAGTCAGGAGACGGTATTCCACCCAGCCAATTTTATCAGATCGATGAGTTCACTGGCTTCAGCAAAGATGGACTGATGCAGAAACGTGGTCGAAATGCAACTGTAGGAGGAATCATTACCAGCAATTTCTCTGGAGATGACCTAAAAGTCACAGAAATACTCCTCTCTTCAGAAAGCCAAGAAAAAATTAATGCTGATATAAAATGTCAGTTAGTGAAGGAAATTCAACACTTTGGACAAAGTAAGTAGTATAAGATTGTCTACTTAAAAAAAAAAAAAAAAAAAACTAGAGGAAGTCTCTCTTTCTATGATAAAGAAGCTATCCATGTTACCTGTTGAGGCTAATTCTTTGCCAGAGTTGAGTTTGCACATAATTTACAGTGGTTCCTCTTTTCTTTGACTAAAATACAGTACACCTTTTCTTTTTCTTTTCTTACTTGGGTGTGGTTAAAAGAGTTTCATTTGCATGTTTGTACAGGTGCCTTTTTATTATTTAGGTTTTGTATGTGCAGTTATCTTGATTTAAGCATTTAAAACATTTTAGCCTGTGAGGCATGATTGCTGAGGTATAGATTAACCAAGACTCACTTCTGTTCTTCTTTATATTTGATAATACTAAAGTTTTTTTTTTTTTAAACATCCTCAGTATATGAAAAAATCTTCAAGCTGCTTGATGGACTGCAAGGACCTATAGAAGTCAAGAAACAATTTTTTGAATCCATCATCAAGGAAGCAGCAAGGTGGGTAGAGATAGGAACTGTCCAATTTCTTTAAGCACTTGGGCCCAACACAGTACTGGTGGTGAGCGTGGGGGAACGGCCCCTGCCTTGAGTTTCTCACTGTGGCCCTCACTTATAGTTATGGCTGTCTCCACAGTTACTTAGGTTAATGTTATCTGAATCTAACTCATCCTTCCAAGCCTATGGAGATTTCCATTCTCACCATAGTCTGAGGAGGGCATTGTCCCTCAGTTGGCAGCCTTTATATTTGCTAGATTACCTCTTTTTAAGAAATTTGTGTAGGTACATAGCAGATGCACATATTTCTGGGGTATATGAGACATTGTGATACAGACAACAATGTGTAATAAACATCAAAGTAAATGGGGTATCTATCACCTTAAGCATTTATCTTTTGTGTTACAGGTAACCCAATTATACTCTTATTATTTTTAATGTATAATTAAATTATTACTGACTATAGTCACCCTGTCATGCTATCACATACTACATCTTACTCATTCCATTTTTGTACGTATTAATCATCTGCACTTCCCCCCACCCCCACTAACCTTCCCAGCCTCCGGTAACTGTCATTCTACTCTCTATCTCCATTAGTTCAGTTGTTTAAAATTTTTGCTCCCACCAATAAGTGAGAACATGCGGTTTGTCTTTTTGTGCCTGGCTTATTCCACTTAACATAATGACCTTCAGTTCCATCCGTTTTGTTGTGCAAGACTGAATCTCATTTTTTTTTATGGCTGAATAGTACTCTGTTGTGCATATGTACCACATTTTCCTTATCCAGTCATCTGTTGGTGAACACTTGGGTTGCTTCCAAATCTTGGCTACTGTGGACGGTGCTGCAACAAACACGGGAGTGCAGTTATCTCTTCGGTATACTGTCTTCCTTTCTCTTGGGAGTATACCCAGCAGTGGAATTACTGGATCATATGATAGCTCCATTTTCAGGTTTTCGAGGAACCTCCAAACTCTTCTTCATAGTTGTTGTAGTAATTTATATTCCCACCAACGGTGTGTGAAGGTTCCCTTTTCTCCACACCCTCGCCAGCATTTGTTGTTGCCTGGCTGGACTACCTCTTACCATGCAAATGCATTTCTGTCTCTATGCTGACTGTTACTTCATCCTTCTATCTCCCACAGTACTTTCTACAGCATAGGTTATTTTATCTTTTGGTTAATGACATGTCTCTTTCTTTTCAGGTATATGAGAGGAGACTTAATTCAGAACCTTGAGAAGAAACTGGAAGAAATGATTTGGGGGTACTTGTACAAGAAAGAACCTCACACCCTAAATGCATAATCTCTTTAATGATTGAGGAGAAAAGAGGATCAGATTGCTGTTTTCTACAATGGAGCAGGATATTGCTGAAGCCTTCTAGCGTGTGTTAGTGAATAAGATGGCCTTCCAGAGGCTAAGAAATTTCTGTTAGTAAAAGTTGGTCTTTTTCCCTAAGCATTTCATTTGAAAGGATAACTTGTTTGTCGATTGATTTTTTTTTCCCTCCTGTGCTGGCAGATACTGTTAACCCATTAGGTAAATACTATTACAGTCATGGTTTCTGCAGCTGCCCACATTGTTGTAGCTGGTATTTATAACTGCCTTCTTTCACTACTCATTTCTCATCCCCTTTGCCCTGGGGAAAGCATGTCAGCTGGTCATGGTGCTTGGCCTGGCAGGATGACTCAAACCTTCATTACTGAAGAGTCTGAACCATTAGATGTCCTGCCTAGATGGGGTTGCTTTAATTTTTCATTAACTCCAATCATAAAACACAGGAGTACTAAGAAGCTCTCTAGATATATCAGGCATAGTGTTCCTTAGTCCCTGGCATAGTAGGAACCCAATATCCTTTTTTTTTTTTTTTTCACTTTCCATCAGCCGAGCCAGTAGTGGATCCCCTCAAGCCAGTCTCTTGGTTCAGATGAATGAAGAGTTCAAAGTGGTCACCTTGTAGACACAACTTTCATTTCAATAGAATCATTTTTGATTCCCCTGTTGAAAAAATTTCTCAATTTGTAACTAAGACCTCTAGTCCAGCAGAGCCAAGAGTTTGCTTCTTGAGAGCAAAGTTTGGTTTTTGAACACAAGAAGCAAAATTTTGCTACTAGATACCCAGGAGTAACAGTGAGAGGCCTGCATATTGCCTCCTTCATTCTTGAGGACATAGATGTAGCTATGGGAAAAATAGTTTCATATACTTGATGCTGCGATACAGCATTGCCACCTCCTAGATTGTCAGCCAAGCCCCAAAAGCACTGCCAGGAAGGCATTACTACAACTCAGGCTTTAAAAGATCATTTCACTGTACTATTGAGCCAGACACTTCAGGATGGTGAAGAACATCAGGAGACTTGTGTAATCCATTAGCATGATCTCATTGCCATATTCATTTCCTGTAAAGTTTAAAACTGGTGCAGTGTGGGATACCACGATGGTGGATACAGCCTTTCCTAATACCACAGTGTTGGTTTTCTTGAAGTGCCATGGGTAGGAATGAAAATCCATATCCAGAAGAAGTGTCTATTTGAGCAAGATCAAAGTGATGCTCCTTCAATTGTGGAAGCAGACCCAAGTAATCACAGTGCCACCTGGAAGCTGATCACTCTGGGACATGGTGCCATATTGGGGAATCAGTGTTGGTCTCTGCAGCTAGCAGGTTGAATAGTCAGCAGTTACTGTAGTGAGATGGACCTGGTAAATGAAAGTTCATGTTGCCAAGCCCATGAATAACCTCTATCAGCCACCATAATCATGATGCACCATTACTACTTAAAAGATAGAGGGGTGCACCGAAGGATGTATGGATGTGGCTCAGGTAGCTTATTGTGGCCTCAGCGAAGACCACAAGTATACGGCTACCTCAGCTCTACAAATTTAAGAAGTTAGACCTGCCAGTAACCGAAATGAGCTTGAAAACAGTTTCTCTCTGAGTCTTCAATTAGTCACCAGCCTGGCTGATACCTTAACTTTGATTTTGTGAGATCCTAAGCAGAGAAACCAATCTAGACTGCTTGGATTTCTGATGTACAGAACTGCTTATATATTTGTGTTGTTCTAAGCTGCTAAATTGTGGCTAATTTGTTTTGCAGCAGTAACAAACTAATGTGGTGCCTGCATATTCTGAAGTAACAAATGAAAATCAGTTACGATGTTTTTTACTTTCTAGTCAACTGGTCACAGGGAGCTACACGTGAGACCACGGGTATAGGATGAGATAATTTTCTCTTTTTCTGGGCCCAATCCATGCTAGCAGGGTTTCAGTCACTTGTCAATGGGTCATGCTACTGAACAACATAGAGGTATACGCTAAAACAAGCATCTATTACAAAAAAACCCCCCCAAAACTTAACCTTGTTGACTTTGTGTAACTACCAAAGATTGGGGATATACCAGATCTGGACCCTTAGAAGACTGGCCTGGCATCCCAGTACATCTCCATGGACAAACTCACTGGACCACAGAATGGGGACGGTCAATACCGTCAGGCCCAATGGTCAATACCAAGGGATTTTGTTGTGTCAGGTCATGGATTCCTTAAGTTCCTCCTCTTAATTATCAACAGCAGTTCAAATGTCCCAAAAAGAAAAAAAAATGCTTTCTTACATACCTTTTATCCAGAGCAGTTCTTCTTCTGCCTTTACAGTAATCATGCCAGTGCTGCCACTTTTGTAGAACTCCAAGAGAGACAGTGTAGCTAAAACTTTGTCACTGGGTCACCTATCTGAATCAATACATCTGCAGGAACTAAACTAATAAGTGGACACCTCATCCAGGAAACCAATTTTTTTGCTCTATGATGTCCCTGGACTGGCACCACCTCTATTTCCTATCAACAAAACGACAACCTCTAGGTTTTGCTGAGGCCATCCTTGCATGAAAAGCCCTTATTCGTCCCATCTCAACGCATCCCCCAAGGACTGTGAACATATCCTATCTAAAGATAACTCTGCCTGTGGTCAAACCCTAAAAGGGGAACTTTATTGAAAGATCTTATTAATGCCACCACCGAACTCTGCCATTCATTAACGGGTCCAGTAACCACTGCCAACTTAGCTGCACAAAAACTTTCGATTATACGCCAGAAAACAGGAGACCCCTTTTATAGGCCCTCCACTGCTTTCACCACTTTAATGCAAAATACTTTTGCAGCAGAAATTTCATCATCAAACAAATTTTGGAGGTTGGCGGATCTTCAGCATATCTATAATTACCCACTATGGAAGGGGCGATGCTCGATCGCTTAGGTTTCCCTTATCTAACTTTCACATGAGCTAACACATCTCTCCCTTTCCCCATGTACCAGCATAGCAACATTCGGCTCCCAGCAAGATTCTGTATTCCCTTAAGTTGACTACTGCCCTCTCTATTGGGGTTATCATGGTCAGCTACGGGAGGTAGAGCCTCGACATCCAGCATAACCCGTTTTAGGAGATGACGGTGGCCCTCCCACAAATGGCAGAGGGCCTCCCTACACTTCAACAGCAGCTGGACTCCCTAGCCTTTATAGTCCTACAAAACCGAAAAGCCTTCAATCTCACAGTCTGTCAAAGAGAAACATGTTTGTATCTGAAAGATGAATGCTCTTTTTACGTCAATCAGTCTGGTTTAGTCTAAGAAAATATCAGAAATGTCATCACCAAGGCAAACAAAATTAACACTTTAGGAACTTCCATGGGAACTGGAAGCATTAGCTATTGTCTGCTCTGCTCCCTTTAACATCGCCAGTTGTTAACATACTTTTAGCTTTGACTTTTGGTCCCACTGTGTTTAAAATGCTGATTTCCTAGTCTCTTGCTTCTCCAGGTCCATATGATGGTTTTGCAAGGCTTTCAACCTTGGGCTGCTAATGAGGTATCTCAAGTCTTGCCCACAGTCCTGTGAACAGCGTGGTTCACACCCCGTTGGATCAGGCAGGAAGAGACTTTAGGGCCCAGGCTAGGCAGGAAGAATGCCCCACTCAGCAGGAAGCAGCTTCAGAAGAAATGACCTGGCCCCTCAACCTCCCACAAGATTCTAGGCCCTAAGATCTCTTAGAGGGTAATCAAGCAGGAGAGGCAGTCAAGGAAGTGACCATGTTGCACGCAGCAACCGTGGGGACCGTACAACCAACACAATAAGCCTCAGCATTCACATTGCAGTTAAGCTCATTCGAGCAAGGCTGTCTTCAGCAGGGATTTTGCTCTGCAGAGAACATGTGTACTTTGATTTTACCGGTCCTCAAACTGACCCTTTGCTCATTATATAGTAAAAAACACACCCCTGGGTGGAGATTTAAGATGCTAATGTGACATGTGAATTATTAACAAGCATGGTTAGCTACTGGGCATGAGCACCCAGAGGACCACTCAGAACGTGCTTACTAGTAACACCTCTTCCCACCTCCTTATGAATAATCATGTTGGGAGTTTCCCAGGTAATAATCCATGCTGTCTCGTCCTTAGGAGCAGCCAGCCCTGAATCCTGTCTGTCTCTCCCAGGGTGTACTGTCTTTTCTGCACCTAACTTTCAAAATACGATTTTTCCTTTGCAATAAGTTACTCTATGCTGCATCGCCTTTGCTAAGTGCCTCTTGTTTAAATTATTTTAAGCTAAGAAAACAAGAACCAATGTCACAGAACAGCCAGCAAACACACTCCAAATATTCTACCACTACCACTTTAGTTGATTTAATCACCTTCTGCAAACCATCGTCTATTAAACTATGTGTCTGCATATACATACCATAATACACTTTCATTTTGGAAACGCATCACGGGGAACAGGACATTCTGCTTCAAAATTCTACTTTAATTCTTCCAATCTTTGAACCCCCTTCGTTGAGTTTCAAACATCTGATTCTGTCACATTACTGCTAAAATGTATTCGCGGAGAACCAGATAAAGACAAACATTGTTTGGAATAAATGATCCAGTCAGGATGAATCCACTCTCTGTTAGCGTGTTTTCTTATATGTCCTTGTTTTTTGTTTGTTTGTTTGTTTGTTTGTTTGCTTTGAGACGGGTACTCGCGCTGTCACCCAGGCTGGAGCGTGCCTGTGGGATCACAGCTCACTGCAGCCTTGATATCCTGAGCTCAAATGATCCTCCCACCTCAGCCTCCTGAGTAGCTGGGACTACAGGTGTGCACCACCACACCCGGCTATTTTTTGTATCTTTTGTAGAGCTGGGTTCTCGCCATGTTGCCCAGGTTAGTCTCATACTCCTGAGCTTAAGTGATCCTCCCACCTCAGCTTCCCAGTGTGCTGGGGTTTGGCAAATCCGGAAATATTTGCCCCCTTGTCCGGTATTATATGTGAGATAAGAGCCCTATAGAGACAGAATAGTCATGCAACAATACTCTATCACACCAATTCTACGTAACAACTCCCTTTTATGCAGATAGATGTTTAAAATTAAATAGATATTTCACATTATATCTAGAAGA